TTCTTTCGTATCAAATGTAAAATATACTCGAGGGTCCAAAATATAAATACATTCAAATTTTGTTTTCTAAATTTCGTTTCTAAACCCGAAAGAGGATAGATCACTTGAAAGACCTAGAAAATTTTTTGTGTGGATAATATTAAAAATAAATGTATATATGGTAACGATTGAAATCGTATGTCTTATTACAAGGATCGGGTCAGACTCTTGTGTGATTTAATCGATAATACTGCACTCTGACTTACCGAATATAGGGGATATGGATGGTTACAAACTGATTTATGTTAGGAAGATGTCTCCGTCTGGTATCAAATCACGTTTGTCTGAGCACAGCGAAATTTTGGTGTCCTTCATTATCAAAATACAGATGCAGGACACTAATTTAGTTTGTTAGACGTTGTTAGACTTTCTTTCCGCGGGCAAAGAAATCAGTATTTTACAAAAATATTTACGAGTATGTACTTTATCTGTGATCTAAAATCTAGTTTACTGTTCCTGATTTTCGTTCTGAAGGTTGTATGATCTAAGGAAAATCTACATTTAAATAATTATGGGATATATAATAATTATTCAAATTGTAGCTTAAATGCGTCATGTTTGTGTTGATTAAAAATATATATTTATTTTCACAGTCTATACACAAACGTTGTAATTAAATGATGTTGTTAAAATTATATAATATTAAAACATTATGTAGTATAAAATATTATATTTTGGGGTATTTACGATAAAAAGCGCCAAATATAATATTTTATACTACATAATGTTTTAATATTATATAATTTTAACAACATCATTTAATTACAACGTTTGTGTATAGACTGTGAAAATAAATATATAATAATTATTATCCATATCAACTTTCGTAAACCAACATCACATATGTGAATTTATGCTACAGACGAACACACAACTGTCGATATTTAAGTCACAACGTGGTAATAGAATCAGGCTAAATACAGGTAATACAAACCGAAATATTATTTACGTTAAGCCAAAACCACCTGCCTCACATCCTCACAACTTCTATCCCTTGTAATGATATCCCTCCGTTTTGTAATTCAAAACAGGCGCTGTTTCAGGGGTCCATGTACTTTGAATCCTTTGATAGGATGTCGCAAGACGACATCATATCGATAACGGGTTGTACCGCGGACAGCGGATTTGGCTAACAAATACCTCCAGTTCAAGGCACATCGAAAAGACGCCGAATTTAGATAAACTGCGTGTTAGCACGATCCGAGGTCACCCATGCAATACTACAAATGGCGAGAAGGTGTTTCACAACTTCACTTCCATGTCCCAGTCACAACAATATGATTTCGAGTTGCAAAATCAACTGATAACTGCAGCCATTACTGGATGGAGTCTACCGTTGCGAACATTTTCGTTTCAGTGGCCCAGGTTCGTTCAATCTGGTTTTCCTTTGACTAAAATGTCCGTCACTTCTCGACGCCGTTGCGTGAAAGTCTAAGCAGAACCAGAGAAACGTTTGTGTGTTTATGTCTGGTGAGTAAGAGGTCCGGAAGGAAGGGTGGTACTCTTCAGTTAACAAAGGACAATCGGTAAAAGTTTGGACACGGCCTTGAACGACGCGCACATAACACATTTTCAGTTTCAGAGGACTCAAGGTCACGCGTTTCATTACAACCAGAACTACTTCAGTGGTGCAAAATGTGCGTTGTCTATCTATAGACGTCACAAATAGACAACAATATTGCAGTGTTGTAAAACTGATCACCCGGAGTAGGAAATTATTTAATATATTTTAATAAAATCAAAATACGACCGCCACGGTGGTCTAGCGGTCAGAACGCTATCCTTGTTATCCTGGGGTCTCGGGTTCGATTCCCGGCGGTGCCGGAATTTATAACTTGTGTTGGGCAAGGCCTTGGTCTAGGCAACACGGAGTTTTCCTCCGTGGCATCCCAACAATTACTCCATTCACACACAGACGAAGGCAATGGCAAACCACTTCTGGATCATCTGCCAAGAACGTATATGAACAGGTCCCAGTCCGAGAAAAGGATGGAAGGATCCTGTTCATATGGACCTGTCGTCAGACAAAAAACTAACTAACTCCTAGATTTCGCTATCCTCAGTATCCTAGGTGACCCGTCGAATTCACTCAGACAAAAGCAGATAATTGGACTGAAAATTATTTTAGCAGTAAATCCTGGTTAAGATTACCCCGTGGGAAACATAAATCTTTTAACGTAAGGGAGTTTAAAATATCATCCTTGTGAAATGAGGGCACTGGAATCCATATAAAGAATGACGCAATCAATTTTAATCAATGTTAATTTGTATTCGTTCTGAGTTTGTGTTGAATCAAAGACTTAATCAACGGTGGGATATTTGTTGGAACTGGGGGAAATTTACGTTCGGATATTTTATTTCTCTGTTGTTGTTCACACTGGTCTGCGTGCTTGTGTTTGGTTCTATTACGAACTTGAATTAGTTTCGTGTCTTCGATCACAGCTTCGCAGTAAAGCCTTTGTAAGCTGTGTGTAATGTTGAATAACGGTGGATAAATTGGGGTCGCACAGTACATTTTTAATAACACCGCCCAATAAAATCTCACGGAACGGATGTTGGTATCATTTTGTATGATTTGTGGTCACGTGCACGTTACAACTTCATTAACACGCCAAAATATATCAGATGTAACTATTTAGCACAAGCCTGGTTTGGCGTCATATCTATTTTATATGATATTAGTTGTGAAAACAGAATAATTTTTTATTCTGACCCCATCTTATTTACAGAATATTCTTGTTTGTAGAATCATTCCATCTATACCAAAGTCTTCCGCGTGTCATATTTAGTTCCGGGTTTCAAATCAAAAATTTATTCCAACTTCTGATATTTTCCATGTATCGTAATAATACAGGCATACCTCGGATATATTGCGTTTTCGGTTCCAGACCACCGCAATAAAACGAGTCACACGAATTTTTCGATTTCCCAGTGGATATAAAAGTTATTTTTACACTATACTATAGTCTATTAAGAGTTCAATAGCATTATGTCTAAAAAAATATTGCGAGAACATTGCGAGAATTACCAAAATGTGACACAGACACACGAAGTGGGCAGCGTTTCATTACAACCAGAACTACTTCAGTGGTGCAAAATGTGCGTTGTCTATCTATAGACGTCACAAATAGACAACAATATTGCAGTGTTGTAAAACTGATCACCCGGAGTAGGAAATTATTTAATATATTTTAATAAAATCAAAATACGACCGCCACGGTGGTCTAGCGGTCAGAACGCTATCCTTGTTATCCTGGGGTCTCGGGTTCGATTCCCGGCGGTGCCGGAATTTATAACTTGTGTTGGGCAAGGCCTTGGTCTAGGCAACACGGAGTTTTCCTCCGTGGCATCCCAACAATTACTCCATTCACACACAGACGAAGGCAATGGCAAACCACTTCTGGATCATCTGCCAAGAACGTATATGAACAGGTCCCAGTCCGAGAAAAGGATGGAAGGATCCTGTTCATATGGACCTGTCGTCAGACAAAAAACTAACTAACTCCTAGATTTCGCTATCCTCAGTATCCTAGGTGACCCGTCGAATTCACTCAGACAAAAGCAGATAATTGGACTGAAAATTATTTTAGCAGTAAATCCTGGTTAAGATTACCCCGTGGGAAACATAAATCTTTTAACGTAAGGGAGTTTAAAATATCATCCTTGTGAAATGAGGGCACTGGAATCCATATAAAGAATGACGCAATCAATTTTAATCAATGTTAATTTGTATTCGTTCTGAGTTTGTGTTGAATCAAAGACTTAATCAACGGTGGGATATTTGTTGGAACTGGGGGAAATTTACGTTCGGATATTTTATTTCTCTGTTGTTGTTCACACTGGTCTGCGTGCTTGTGTTTGGTTCTATTACGAACTTGAATTAGTTTCGTGTCTTCGATCACAGCTTCGCAGTAAAGCCTTTGTAAGCTGTGTGTAATGTTGAATAACGGTGGATAAATTGGGGTCGCACAGTACATTTTTAATAACACCGCCCAATAAAATCTCACGGAACGGATGTTGGTATCATTTTGTATGATTTGTGGTCACGTGCACGTTACAACTTCATTAACACGCCAAAATATATCAGATGTAACTATTTAGCACAAGCCTGGTTTGGCGTCATATCTATTTTATATGATATTAGTTGTGAAAACAGAATAATTTTTTATTCTGACCCCATCTTATTTACAGAATATTCTTGTTTGTAGAATCATTCCATCTATACCAAAGTCTTCCGCGTGTCATATTTAGTTCCGGGTTTCAAATCAAAAATTTATTCCAACTTCTGATATTTTCCATGTATCGTAATAATACAGGCATACCTCGGATATATTGCGTTTTCGGTTCCAGACCACCGCAATAAAACGAGTCACACGAATTTTTCGATTTCCCAGTGGATATAAAAGTTATTTTTACACTATACTATAGTCTATTAAGAGTTCAATAGCATTATGTCTAAAAAAATATTGCGAGAACATTGCGAGAATTACCAAAATGTGACACAGACACACGAAGTGGGCAGGTGCTGTTGGGAAAATGGCGCCGATAGACTTGCTCGACGCAGGGTTGCCACACACCTTCAATTTTTAAAAATAAAAACGCAATATCTGCGAGGTATGCCTGTATTTTATGACGAAAAGGCTACGTAATGAAGCAGTTTCCTACAGAATCCTCACAATTCATCCACCTCGGGTTGTAATATCCTCTCCACACCCCCTCAACGTGTTTACGTTCTAAGATATCACGTGTGAAAAGAATATTTTAAGGTCTACATGATACCAAATATTCCCTCAACACAATTTTCCTTCAATTTCATAGTAAAAACAGGTCTGATTTGCTTCAGATATCATCAGAGACATGGATTCTATCTAAAATACAAAAACATTTACGTGCTATATTCATATGTTCGGTGACACCCCCAAGCGGGATAAATGTGAAGTAGTTAACAGACGCTCACTTACCTAGTAGCAGCAGCGTGAGATCCGACACGGCGAGGCTGAACAGGTAATAGTTGGTCGCCGTTCGCATTGACTTGTTCCGAGCTATCACCACGCAAACCGCCACGTTGCCGACGACGCCCGATACGAAAATGGTGACGTAGATGATTGTGACGGGCAACACCACTGATAACGGGAGGTGCTTGGGCCCCAGGATCCTCACCAGATATTCCTCCATTGTCTCGTTCATAACAGCAAAACGTGAGACGTTGTCCGTGCCTAGAAACGCGATGTTAACACGGGAGAACTCGGAGACTTCCATCGCGTAAGGTTATTTCAACAAGCGACGGTCAACTTTTACGTGTCTTTTAGAGTTGTTACTCAGAAATGTCACATGGTTGTGAAAATTATCTATCACATCTCAAACTGTCATGTTTATTTACAAATAATTCTGTCAGAATTACACGAAACAATGTGTGATACGCCTACAAATCCATAGGTTAGAAAACTCGATGAAAAATATCGCGAGAGGGCAGCACCATCGTGTGTTAACACCATTAATCGTTCTCCAGCACATCTTAACGACACATTTCGTCTTGTAATTCACTCACAAAACACTCTCCTTTCCTCAAAAGTTATTCATTCATATCTTGAGCGTTGTTGTTGTGTTTAAATCTGAAACAGAAAACAATTAAATAAAAAATAGTCCCGTTCTAAGTAAATATGAATTCTGACACTTGCCGTCAACTTTATACGGGACTGAATTATTATGGGCTGGTTGTATCGAAGTACAATTTCTTCTATGTCAGAATCAAATTGTCTAGAACAGCGAAAGTTGACCGATTCTGAAAAAAATCATCGAATCAAATTTCCCAAATTTCGGTAACTATTTTTATAATATATATATATATATATATATATATATATCACTTCAATTTATTACACTGCGCGTCAGGATCACGTACATTTATAAATTCCTTATTACGTCTATGGCAACAATAAAAAATGAAAATGATACTCACGAGGAATTTAGGAGGAGATTAAATTCCGGAAATGCTTGCTACTTCTCAGTTCAAAATGTTTTGTCTTCTCGTCTGATTTCTAAGAACTTGAAAATTAAAGTATACAAAACAATAATCTTGCCTGTTGTTTTGTATGGGTGTGAAACATGGTCTCTCACTCAGAGGGAGGAACACAGATTGCAGGTGTTTGAGAATCGGGTGTTGAGGAGGATATTTGGGCCTAAGAGGGAAGACGATGGGGCGTGGAGAAAACTGCACAATGACGAGCTTAAAAATCTGTACTGCTCCCCCAGTATTGTGAGGGTGATTAAGTCGAGAAGAATGAGATGGGCGGGACATATAGCGCGCATGAATGGGACAAGAGATGTGCACCGGGTATTGGTTGGGAAGCCTGAGGGGAAGAGACCTCTGGGGAGACCTAGACGTAGATGGGAGGATAATGTCAGGCGGGATCTATGGGAGATAGGAGTTGAAGGAGACTGGATTTTGTTGGCCCAGGACAGGGTCCGGTGGAGGGCTTTGGTTAGTTCGGTGATGAACCTTCGGGTTCCCTAAGCCATCTGGTTGGTTGGGTCCACTATTTGGGAAGCCTGAGGGGAAGAGACCTCTGGAGAGACCTAGACGTAGATGGGAGGATAATCTCAGGCGGGATCTATGGGAGATAGGAGTTGAAGGAGACTGGATTTTGTTGGCCCAGGACAGGGACGAGTAGAAGGCTTTGTTGATGAACTTCGGGTTCCCTAAGCTATCTAAGTACTTAGGCCTATGTGAACTTACATGTAAAAATCGTTTATTCTATTTATATATATATTTACCGCCATGTGTCAGCAGTAACAATACTTGTGTTAATGTAACATAAAAGTAGGTACGAGATAATTATCAGAATAGGTCCTCAAAGAAAGTACAAAGTTTGAAACTCTGAAATGATTCTCTGGCATATGAGGCCAAAGACGGAATGTCCAAGCAAATTATCCTCAGCGGATCTATTTAATCCCTCCAGGCAATCCTTATCCTACATTACAACAACATTCAACGTAGCGTGAGGTGGACGGAGTTACTTACCAGAAGCAAACACAATAATTTCAAAGATTTGGTAAACACACACAAAATTTAGGCAAAGAGCACGTCATAACTGGCCGGAAGGGAAACACAAGTTGAACAAGAAGTTTACGTCGAGAGTAACGAAACTTTGACGTGCGGTGGTAAACGAGAAATGTTGATGCGGAGAAAGGGGAAGTCAGTGAAAGGAGAAATGTCAAATGATGGCGTTTCACAAATAAAACAGCCAGCGCATACCATGAAAGTAGATCTACGGTACAAGTCAGGGAGTATAACATCCGTTTCGTTCTTCAGAGCTAATTTCGCCGTCTTTTAATGAACTTCGAGGTTCATTACCGCGTTTACAAAATATCACACCACTGGATCGTGTAGTAATACATATAAATCCAGCCCATGTTCTCATAACCTCTTTTATTGAGATTCGTTTTAATAATATTCTCTTATCTACGTCCAAGTGGTGACTTCAAGTTTTCCGAGTAAAGTATTTATCATCTCCCTCATAATTAAAGAATAAATGTCCCGTTCTTGTTCTGAAGGAAGCCATTATGATTCCACTACGCAAATTTATCCATACTCTTGTGTGGCTAGACCAGGGGTGTGGAACCTGTGGCCTTAAGGCCACATGTGGCCTTCTAGGTCGTTAAGTGCGGCCTTTTAACTGAATCCAAATTTTACAGAACAAATCCTTTTATCTTTATTAATACAGGCTGCAACCAAATATTTAAATGTTTTCCAACAAAAAGCAGACACAACAGAGTCATTAAAAGATTAGTTAACTTTAAAATTAACAAATAGTTTTCATTTTTTTGAAATTATTAAGTACATACTAGTTAGATTTTTACAAAATTATGTACAATTTTTAAAGTATATCTAATTGAAGTTTCTTGAATGCGGAATTATTTGATTACAGCTAAATCAATGCGGACTTCCAACATAAAAAGTTTCCCCACCCCTGGGCTAGACAAACCATATAATTAAATGTTAAGAACATTTTGAAACTCTTACAAGAAACAAAAGACGTTTCGACTACAAGTACTATTTAATAATAATCTTTAAGCTCTGAAATGTTAAGGATGTAACTACATTTCGCTGCAACATATTTGCCCACACTAACTGTTGTCCGTAATCTTCCTCAGATGAGTGACGTCTATTTTAAAAAAAACTCCTACGCACTTAAGTGCCAGATGTATCTAAGGAACACTGATTACATTAAATCGTCCAATAGTTTGTTTATCATCTGAAAAATTTAGAACAAAATTAATTTATATTAGTTTCAATAGGGGACAGATGAAATTTATCTGTCGTGTATAGAATGCTCAGAACACGACGACGTTTCGGAATATGAATTTTTCGAGAAAGACCGACGACTTTGAAATGTGAGGACTGCGTTTTTTAAATTACTTTCATTAGAGCCTGTCCTAGACTGGACTGGAGTGGCTCTGAAAGTGGGCAGCGGCTTTGTATGACTAATACAATAGTAAACATTTTTTATGTTATACGCAACATAACTTTTAAATCGTAGCCGAGATGCAAAATTAAGATGAAAACTTTGTAGTTGTTGCATGATGGTTTTAACAAACAAACAAACAGGTCGGGCTAAGTTCGCGTTTCTAACAGTCAAATCTAAAACTTCTTGACGATGGTGAAGAGTCAATTGAATACAAATTTAGTTGGATATTATCCATCGTCTAGTAATAAAACGTAAAACGACGTTTCGGAGATGGGGCTCTATCTCCGTCTTCAGGTTCCTACTCAGTTGGGCCCACTAGATAGAGCTAATCCCTATCTAGTGGGCCCAACTGAGTAGGAACCTGAAGACGGAGATAGAGCCCCATCTCCGAAACGTCGTTTTACGTTTTTTACGTTTTATTACTAGACGATGGATAATATCCAAGTACATTTTTATTCAATTGATTCTAACAGTCAGTTTAACTACTGATAAATATGATAATTTAAAATCATGACGTATGAATAAATATTCGTACGAAATTTACGTATAATTTAATACGAGTCTTTGTTTAAGGATGTATGAAAAGTAGTCTAACTGAGGTGTACACAGTATATTACTATGTGTTGGTAATAGTTCAAAATTTTCACAATCGCCATGTTAATTTCTTTTAAATAATAAATCTAATCATATTTAAAATGTTCTGTTATTGTATCTGATGTTGCCAAGAGAAAACACGATACTTTGTGGTTCTACATCCAGTATTCTCTTTGGAAAGTTGGTTATTGATCAGCTGTAAAGATATTAGCCGATATTTATCGAACACATTGGTTTTTCTCCGTGTTCACAAGAATTCCGCCTAAAATGTTGTGTAACTTTGTCATTTAACAGATGAAAGCTGCATAATTTGTCCAAATTACCGCCCCTCGAACTGAGAATCCTTGTAATATTTGTTAAAGAATTAAAATTACGAAGCCCCAGTTTCTTCATTTGTTTGTTATGTATCAGAAAATCATCTTTTAAGATTGCTGTCTTCTGTCACCGCTGTGAAAACTTAAAATCCTACAATCATCATTTAGTTGAAGTCACCGTTTCAAACGACATAAGATGATGATGATAATAATACATATTAAGCATAATCATTTATGAAGCTCTATCCTAATGTTAAGAACTGTGTTCGTATTAAGTTTGCAGTGTGACAATCCTCAGCTGCGCGGACGCGTGAACACATAATTATTTAAATTAATTATTCGGTTTTGTCAGTCTAATCACAATTATATTTAAAATTTACAAATAAGATAATTAAATTATCATAACATAAAATGATAATTTAATTATCTTATTTGTAAATTTTAAATTTTAAATATAATTGTGATTAGAACGGACAAAACCGAATAATTAATTTAATATTTGATTCACAATATGACGCAATTATACTATCTTATACATAATTATTTCTTTGTGATTGTCGAGTCTGTGTAGCCACTGTCTTAATCTCGTCCCCCAAAGCCTGAGTAATTAAATTACAAATTCTTATTTTATTTTCTATATATTCATAGCGAATTCATGTTTTGGTATTACGCGGTGTAAGCCTTCTATTTCGGCACAAATTCTGTTGCAGGCAAATAAATAAATCTCATAACAGAGAGGAATAAAAAATTTGGTATTCGCGTCATCTTATCTATCGTGTGGAGTTTTCGAGCTACGGAACCCATCTTAACCAGGAGTCGAAATCAGGACAGATTTTTAGGTGTTTTGACACATCTGTTCTTTGTTACAAACGATGAGCATTCCAAGTTTAGTCAAAATTAATTTACCATTCTCGACCTGTACGCTTATATACATACGCAATTCAATTTTTTTTTTTTTTTGGGGGGGGGGGTTGAGGATATTAATCCCTAAAATTACGTGATGACCTAAAGAAGAACACAGTAAAGGCGACTATTTTAATACAAAATTCAAAATTCAAAACTGTATTTATTCTCAGAACATAAACAATATTTTACCGCCGGTGTAACGGTTTAATTTTTAAACGTTTTCAGTTCAACTTTAAACCACGTTTCGCTGTAATAATAAAACCTGGTATAATGTAGAAACTGTTACAGACGATCTTATAATTATAGAAGAAAGTACTTCTCAAATAGATT